AAATGTAAATTAACATTATAGTTTTACCGCGACGACAAATAAAAAATTCTAGGTCCATCCATAATCGTTAAATAGCTGTGTTGTTGTTGTTACGTAAATGTAAATTAACATTATAGTTTTACCGCGACGACAAATAAAAAATTCTAGGTCCATCCATAATCGTTAAATAGCTGTGTTGTTGTCGTTACGTAAATGTAACTTAACATTATAGTTTTACCGCGACGACAAATAAAAAATTCTAGGTCCATCCATAATCGTTAAATAGTTGTGTTGTTGTCGTTACGTAAATGTAACTTAACATTATAGTTTTACCGCGACGACAAATAAAAAATTCTAGGTCCATCCATAATCGTTAAATAGTTGTGTTGTTGTCGTTACGTAAATGTAACTTAACATTATAGTTTTACCGCGACGACAAATATAAAATTCTAGGTCCATCCATAATCGTTAAATAGTTGTGTTGTTGTTACGTAAATATAAATTAACATTATAGTTTTACCGCGACGACAAATATAAAATTCTAGGTCCATCTACATGCATTAAATAGTTGTGTTGTTGTTGTTACGTAAAGGTAAGTTAACATTATAGTTTTACCGCGACGACAAATATAAAATTCTAGGTCCAACTACATGCATTAAATAGTTTTTGTTGTTGTCGTTACATAAAAACAAACGTGGATCGATATTTCTACACTGAAACAAAATCACGGAAATTAACAGAATGAAATCATTGAGATGCTTTCCGAAACATGGTAGTTTACTTATTAAACTAACGCCCTGGTTCTTAATGTCCTGCTAAATCTGAATAGCCAGTTAATTGATCGGTTTTAATTAAAAATTCACTTTAAAACAATGGTTCTATTTTGAAGAAATTACATATGTAATTAGAAAGTTTTTTAAGCAGTGTATTATTAGTAAAATAAATTAGTCTATGATATAATTATTTCTACAATAGATGCTCGTACGAGTACATAAATGGAATAACAAAACCCAGTAATTGGAACAGTAGCTTGAAAATGTTAGTTTCGAATGTTGTTTGTTTGTTTGTTGTTAAGCCAAAGCTACACAATGAGCTATCTGTGTTCTGCCTATCACAAGTATCGAAACCCGATATTTAGTGTTATGTTTCAACTGGAAGTTTTTGTGATATCAAGTAATTTGTTAAGTTTATAATCCGTGTCATTAAAACAGAGTAATAAAATGTAAAAGTGTATAAAGTAAGCTATTTTTTTACTTTCATTAAATATATTTAAGAACGAGGCTGTAAGTTGATTAAAAGAATAACATTGTTTTTAAACCAATGCTTTCTCTTAAAGCCCTGAGTGATAAACTTTGTATTTCAAAATTTGTTATGTTTGTTTTGAATAAAAGTATTTTAGTTTCCTGAAACTTAACAAGTTCGTTTTGGGATGAGCATTTTGTAAATCAGAATAAAAACTTTTATAGCATGTAGTCCACAGTCGTTCCATCACTTTCAGCTCCATCCAATTGATCAGAATGGAAACAAAAAGATAAATAAGAACCATCATGAAAGAAGAGTGTTAAGCTACCATTTTGTGTTAATCAACAACTCATGTGTAATCAAATGTTACTGAAACTCACATTCAACGATTGAAACAATTTATCTGTTGTTTTCTTTACATTTTCATAATTGAAGATGTAGTAGTAACACTCTCTTCTTCTGGTTAACCTCTGGATTTCGGGTCT